GATTGCGCAATTTTTTTTTTTTTTACTGCTCGGTAAGAAAGAGAGTGCAGTTTTTTGACAGCGGCTCCGGAAATACAAGCCGAGAGTGGGCTGATAATGTTTTAACGCCAACGCGTATAGATTTCTGAGAGATTAGAGCTCGCAATTTTTATCGCAGCGAAAAACTGACAATTGAGATTTCTCGCAAATATAGTGAATAATTGTCTGCAAAAAAAATGAGCTCCTATCTGATAACACGATGGTATGATGGCATTTGTCATGTGGTTTTTCGCGATTAGAATAGAACACTTTTTTTTTATCTCTAATACATAGAACTATAATATCACAATTGTTACTTTCTTCTCGCGACCCACATTTTTATTATCTCGAATCTAATCATACTATCATTATCTGAGAACAATAGATATAATCTTGGGCTAAGACTTCAAAATTTAACGGCACCTTCGACTGATGAAAAATTGTCAAATTACGATTATTTTACTCGTGTGTTTACATATGAAGCCTAATATAATTTGCAATTACTCGATAAACGAATTGCAATCTCGATCGGAGACAAACGAGTGCTTTCTTTTTTTTCCTTTCTTCTTTCTCGAAACTGGTAGACGTATTTTTTTGGCGAGATGTGAAAGTTGCACATTTCGGTGGATAAGATGCTTTTTAATTTGCGCAGGCACTCGTGTGTTTTTACACGTGCATTACGTAATTTTTCGAAATCGTAGCACTTGCCTTTACTCTTTTCTTTTTTTTCTTCACTTCTTTTTTTTCTTTCTTTTCTTTTTTTTTTTTTTTTTAATGAAATTTCCACGCCAAAAATACGACGAGCTCATCTCCAGCTGCGACAATAACGATGCCGGGCACGAGCGACGCGAGCAAACGTCAATTATCGTCATAGACGCATGCAGGCAAACGAAAAGAGGAAAAAAAATGAGAGAAAAAAAAACTAGTCACTAGCTGTTACTGTTTTTTTTTCTTCTCATTTTCAAACAATAAATACCGGTTCGTTCTTGCTTTATGCACCAAAGAGAGAGAGAGAGAGAGAGAGAGATTACACGAGCGCGCGCCGCACGGCAAGCAAAGAGTTACTTTCCATCCTGACCTACATTTTGACTTATGTACGCGCAGCCCGTCAGTGTATACTCAAGCTGCATCGTCGACGTCGCCGTCGTCGTCATCGTCGTCGTCGTCGTCGGTAGCGTCGCCGAACATGTATGCACCGTCGATGTGCCATCGCACCTCGTATACGACCCTGAGTTTTTTTACTCTCTGGACTCGGTTAAATTTTAATTTCGTAAAAAAAAAAAAAAAAATGGAGAAAAAATGAAAAATCCTCTCTCTCTCCTGACGAAACACCTTAATGAATGGTTCACACGATTATCTACGATACATCAATTCTTCCTCTTCGTTCGCACACGAACGAAAAAAAGGCTAAAAAAAACTATTTTATTCGGTATATCTGACTATCCGCTATGGAGCCTAAGAAGAAAAAGCGATTGTTGTCGGCTCTATATGTATATATCTACGGCACTAACGCGTATAATGTCATGTCGCAATGGGAAGTCTTGCCGGCGAGTGTCTATTGCAACTGAGGCTCGCGCAAACTGAGAGCTGCTGCTGCTGCACACTGCCATATACATAATATACTCGTGCTGCATCACTGACGAGAATTTTTAGAATTCACCATTTATACGTGCGCGAGGATTGAAGGTTTCGTTGATTGTATTTTATATATACATATAGATTGCACAGAATAGATTTATATGCTTTCGAGAGACTTTTTTTTTCTCTCTCTCTGTTTTCTAAACGTGCATTATGCATATTCATTCAATGTCAATCTCGTGCATGTGGGTTTGATAAATAATTAAAATTTTAGATTTTTTTTTTCTTGAAAATATAATACGCGAAGCCGCAGCCGCAGTGCGTGTGCGAGAAGGATTATCAGCGCTCCCCGACAATAATGATTGCCGTTCTAAAACTATAAAGGATCTCTCCGGCTCTTTATGATCTCAACAACAACATGACGAAAGAATCGGCGAGTCGGAAAAATTTTTGATCCAAACGAGTCGTGACGTTCACCGTCCATTATGCATTTTTATGGTCGTCATATTGTATATAAAATCGGTAAAAAAAAAGTAAGTCGCAGTTGGGCTCGTGCAGCAGCAGCAGCGTTGCACACATTATACATTCAAGCCCTTCGGTATGTCGGTGGTGGTGCGTCGGTTGGTTGCTCGGTTGGTTGGTTGAAGCGCGCAGAGGGCGGCAGCGCATGCGCAAGGGAGGAGGAGGGCGAGATTTTATTCGCAGCGAGGCGATGCGCGAGAGGGAAAATCGGAAGTCAATACAAACGCGCGTGCTGCACACGGGCTGTCATGTGCGCGCCTCGAAAACTGCACTCGGACTTTCTCGTCGCACGCAATATCGAAAATTTCTCCTCCGACGTCTGGTCTTTCCGAATTATGCCGCGCGCGCTCGATCCGACTCAATGCCATATTGTACCGAATCGTGGAAACTCCGTACACACGCGTTCGTATGTTTGTCGGAAAATGAAAATTTGCCTATCCATAGAACTAATACATATAGCAAAGGAAAGAAAGAAAAAAAAAGTTGCAGCAGTGCAGTCCGCTGGCGCGACTCCTCCCATATCCGCGATAAAGCATCGCTCGGCTCTTGCGCGCCGTATAGGCCTCTCTCGGTTACATTACGACATGTATTGCCTCATCGTTGCCGCCGCCGCCACCGCCACCGCTGCCTGCCTGCCTGCAGTGCTGCACGACGCAATCGAACGCGGCGCGCCTCCCTCCCTCTGCACTTCTATTTTCACATGTATGTATGTATGTGTGTGTGTGTGTGTGAGTGCATGTAATCTGCCGCGCCGAGAGAGCCCATGCGCCGCGCGCGATGCGATGACAATGCAGACTCGCAGTGCAATGCAGTTCAGTGCAGCTATATAGGTAGGTAGGTAGGTAGGTTCGATGCAGTGCAGCTCGGCCGGTAAGTCAGGTGGCCGCTAAAGTTGATTCGTCGCTTCCGCCGCGAGACGTCGTGCCGCAGCAGGACTCAGGAGTCGAGCGCGGGATTACGATTTTATAACGGATCCGTGTTTATTATTATAAAGCGCGAGCACGAGTCTCTCTCTCTCTCTGTGTTTTGCTTGACGCGTATACATGTGTATGTGTTTTTATACGTGTGAATATATAGGAAAAGTTTTACGATGCTGCTGGCATGGCGTTTTAATTTTTCTGCCGTTACGATTTCATCGAGCTTTTCCCTCTTAACATCGACTGGCAACGAGATTTATATGTTATAATATATATGTTATATAGCGATCATCTGCGCTGACTATCATGCGCTATACGCAGGCTAATTACAATTACGTTCCACTGCATCCGTTATACATTATACGCCGCATTATGTGCGCTATTTTTTTACGACTCGCAGTCACGATGATGAGCCTTTTATAACATTATTATTAAATTGTTATACCGCTGCGGATTCCTCGAGACGTCGTGCGTGCATATGGCGAGCGAATTTGCAAGAACTAGACAAGGGGGGAAAAATATGACAAAAACGATAGATACAGAGAGGCGGGGAAGGAACGAGAAAAAGCTCCACTGCAGCGATATGTCGTGCGCCCGATACATAAAAAAGGCTTCTTTTCCTCTCTTTGCGACGGCACACACACATACACATACACCGTACATGCAGCGAGCTATATAAGCTTCTTAGGAAAATAATAACAGGGCGCCCGAGCCTACATATACCGCTGCAAGCTCGCTCCGCAAGTCGAAAGCTTCGCTTGCTCTCGTTTCTTGCAGATTGGATTTGGCTGCTCGGTGCAGTACGTACTTTACGAGCCACGAAACTGCGACTTCTCCCTGCAGCCGTGTGCCGTGTGCTCTGCGAAGCTCTAGCTTCGATTGCGCAGTGCACTTCTTGGAGAATATAATTGAAAATCCTTGCGAGCTCTCCTCAACAATAATAGATTTATCGCTTCTATATACGATACGTAGCGGGAAAAAAGGGCCGAGAGCGCTGGGGGGAAGAAAAGGTAGGTATACCCGAGAGGTAGTTAACCGCGAGCCAATTAAGCCGAGACCGGCCGAAAATGGTATGTGCCTTGGCTGCTATACAGCAAGAGGTGTATACACTGTACAGAGCCAGCAAGCCAGCCTTAAGGTTCTCACGTGAATTTCTCCGAAAGCCGAACCTACCTATAGTGGCAATTACTGGCTCTTATGTAGAGATCCTTATCCTCCTCATGCAGCCTCCCTCTCTCTCACGTATGTGTGTATAAGTATAAAGTATGGGCATGGAGGCAGACGCATGGGACAGAGGAATCGCTCGTGGCCATGTGTATGTGTTGGAGCGTGTGTTGCATATACGCTCGGGCTTTGGGAGGCCATGCATTATCGAGATGGGCTCGAGCGCACGTGGTGACGATGTATGCGCACACGTATACGTGATGCGCTCATACGTGCGGTGCACATATATATATATAGTACAGCACACACATCGCGAGTCGAGCGGCGCACATAACGGGTATACGACGACGACGGCGGGATGGCATGCACCGCCAGCAGCAGGAGAAGAACGCGGGGGCGCGGGGCCCGCCGATGTGTGTACGTTATATATACAGCAGCAGCAGCAGCAGCAGCAGGAGAGCTGCGGCGCACGGCGTATACGAACACACGGTATATACAAGGCAGCACGCTCCGAGCCAGGCGCAGAGAGAACTTAGCGGTATATCGGCGCAATACGGCGCAAGAAGAAAAATTTGCCGTTACTTGACCGACAGATCCGCTAGCGAATCTGCACGCAGTGCAGCTGCGGCGTATACTGCACTAACACACACACACACAGCACTCGCAATCGTGAGAGAGGAGAGGGGTATCCTGTAAACGCTACCTTCTCTCCAGCAGGGCCTATATATAGTCTAACCAGCTATACATTGTATATATAATGTACGAGAGATCTATACGTGCAAAGGGTATATATCGGTGTACCTGTGCCGGTGATCGGTGGCGAGGCGGTAAGCTGCGAGCTGCTTATGTCCGATGGTTGACTGTTGCTCTGACTCGTTTGACTCTGCTGTTGTTGCTGCGTTGCGGCTGCTGCAGCTGCTGCTGCTGCTGCTGGTGGAGATGCCGCGGCGACCACGATCGTCGCGGGCGATGACGACTGCTGTTGCTGTTGTGGTTGCTGCTGCTGCTGCTGTTGGGGACTGCCAGCAGCAACAGGACTCGTTGACGCGCTCTCGGCCATTGTCGATGATGATGACCTGCTCGACCGCCGCTTCGGATTCTTTTTTTTGCTACCCACTTTGAATGATTTTCGTAGTACCGCGCGCGCAGCTCAAACGGACCTCGGGCACGGCATTGTTTTTGACAAACGATTTTTCTTGTTTTTTTTATAACTGCTGCTACTTGGCTTATTGCGATTTTGTAATAACGACTACTTTGTACACACTAAGATTCGCGCTAGACGTCGACTAATTTATTTTCAAACTAATTAATTTTTTTCCGAGGTGATTACGTATTATTACTTATATTCTGAAAGTTCAGCTAGATTTAAAATTGTTTTACTCGCAAGCTGGTATGATCGATCTAATCGACGCTCTCTTGATCTTCTATGATCCTTCGCAAATCGCTGATCACGAAGCTTCCAGCAGCTCGCTGTGACATTTTGATCGGTCGCAACGGGTCTTTCACCGACAACACGGTCATCTGCAAGAAAAAGCATTGGGCTACTTGAGCGTCCGCAGACTGGCAAAACACAGCGGCATCGGAGACGGACGCGCGTCAGATTTTGCATCCACACGAGAGGCGCGGGCAACAAAAAAGAAAGCGTACAGCGAAGCGACAAAAAATAACAAGTATAGTAGGCACGAACGCCCGCGACCTTAGACGCGCCGAGCAGCCGGTCGGTCGGTCGGTCCGTCGTCGCTCGCTCGCTTGCTGTGTGTACCGCCGCACCACCAGCGTTGTTGCCGTTAAGCCGCCGCGCGCGCTCGGCAGAGAGGCGCGTCTCTCCGTCTCTCTCTTTCTCGCTTGGCGGGCGCGCGCGCGCACAACGAAGGGAGTAGAAAAGCGAGCGAGCGAGCGACCGAGAGAGAGAGAGAGACCAGGCTACAGAGCCAATAGGTCAGTGGGCTTTGTCTATTGCCGCACCTCATGCTTACACACTTGTTTCTTTACGAGATCGAGTCGAGCTTTATGCACCCCTCTGTATGCCAGGAAAAATGATGGTGCACGAGCTTTTTTCCATTGCCCGAGCCCACAGCGCAAAGATTGACACGCGCCAACTGCCTCCCCGTGCACTCGCGTTCATATACATCTATATGTACACACGAAGCAAGACGAGCCGTCCGCGTCTCGTATAGGCACGACGCAACGTAAACCTGACCCTGCAAGCTCGCGCCCGCTTAGATCGCCTGGCAGGATATCGATATGTACATCGCGAGAGACGTGACGTTGTTTGTCGAGCGATTTCGAGCCTCCCCCGAGTATTGCACGAGCATTGCACGAGCGACTTGGCGAACGCACGCGACACGATCGTATATAGGTACACACACACGACACAGGCCCACGTATACACACTTGGCGCCCGGAGCAAAATCTGACGCGCGAGCGACACACTCGTCACTGAAAATTACTCGCAAACTGTTCTTACCGTTCGTCCGTCTGGCTGGTGATTCTCGCTCTCGTTATTTAGATGCGAAGCACTCGACTGCACTGCGTGTATATTTGTATACGCAACACAAAAGAGAGAAAGCTGCACGGTACTCTTTCTTGTGGCTGTTGCTAGGGGATCTCTCTCTCGCTCGGTTTTTTTCGGCTGTTGCGGGGGATAAACACACAGAAGCTGCTGGATCCTCCCCCGTGCTTGCAAGCAGACGGACTCGCAGCTGGCTGTACGGACTTTTCGCGGATTATTACTTGTACTTTCGGACAGACAGACAGCGGGACTCGCTCCTCGGCAAAGGCAGAGCCAGCAGCAGCAGTAGACACACACAGCCTACACACGTAATATAAGCGCGCGGGCGCGAGGTGTGATACGCGCCAATGGATATATAACGAAAAATATGCTATATATACGACTCGCAGCGCATATCCAGGGGTATGAGGGAGAAAGAGAAAAGAGACGTCGCATAGATAGGGGTGAGATCGACAGAGGTCGCTTCGAGCTCGGCTTCTGCTGCTGCTGCTGCTGCTGCTCGTCGAGCAGACGCTGCTAGAGGAGGTGGAGGAGAAGGAGGAGGAGGAAGAGGAGGCGAGAGCGAGGAGGGTATTGTGCAGGGCTGCAGCCGACGAGCCTCGACGTTTTACCAGGGATGGCTCGGCTTACGCTCGTTCTCGCGCCTCCCGCCCACGAAAGCTCGATCCGTTGCAGGGATGACGGATCGGTAGGTAACATGACTGCGATGGTAATTTCAAACCCTATACTCGATTTCGTATGCTGCGTTACAACTTTGCAATTTAATTGATGAATCAAGCGATATCCTAGTAGTTTTATCAATTTTTTAATAGTATATTACTGCCCTAGGCCGCGAAAAACAGAAAAGTCCCAGAGTACGTGCAATTAGTGGCCGAGGCGAAGTCGAGGCCGATAAACACGTGCTCTGGGGCTTTCTTTTTTCGCGGCATAGGCCTGTATACTATTTTTAATACACAATGGCCCGAAAATCGCTCTTCCCGCTTTGCGCAGCGGCAGGGAAGTAGTCACTTTCGGGCTGCTGGTATGAAAAATATTTTACACAAATTATTAAGTACAGAAGTAATAAAATAGCTGTAACAGTTTAATCACTATTATTTAATTTTACCAGAAATAAAATAATGAGAACTTCATAAGCTACGCTTTGTGCAAAGAAAAATATTATGTACGTTTCATTTATTACAATTACGACAGCTAAAAGTAAGAGTTTTTGCATAATAATACTTGTAAGAAAGTTAGTCCTCTCATATTTTTGTTTGACTTGCGACTCAACTTTTTCAAAAAAATGTAAAACTCATCTTTACGTAATCTAATTTGAGCAGAATTCCCAGCAAGTAATTTTTTTCTGTAACGGTTGATTTACAATTGTAAACATTATTGGTCGATGGCAACGGCGGAAACTGACATTGTTTACTTTGTGCAGCGTAAGCGGGGTTACTTCCAGCGCTTGCGCTTCTCTAGCATCGATTGTGCATTCTGGCTTCGATCGCAAGCTCTCACCGAGCGCGCTTGCGCTTTCTTATGAGCCTCCTTATACACGCAACGGTAGCAGCAGCATCGAAATGTCATTTTCACTCTATAACTTATTGCCGTAAACATTTACTTACGAGCCTAACGGAATCATTGCGTTTTGAGCGTCTTGTGCAAGTACTGATGCTAATAGATCTAAAAAGTTGATAAATTTATATTATCTTTTTCAAATTTTTCATCAAACAAACTTTTGATGAAAAATATTTAATTAATCAACTTTGTAACAAAAAACAAGTCCCTGTGGTGGAATTATTTACCGTAGCATTCAAGGGTACATTTTACTAAGAAAAGTTTAAATCCCTAAAAAATTCCGTTATTCCTTACTTGAGATCGCGACTTCAAGAAGTAGAGCCGATGCGCTTTAGTGAAAAATTAATGAATCTCATAAGAATATCTATTTGGCATTGGTCTCGCTACATGAAAAATAATAGATCAGGTCACTTGGGTATTCGCGTACTTTTGCCATTGAAGCGCAAAATTTGGCCGCAATCAAGAAGTACCCGTTAAATCAAACGCATAACGCAACATCAAAGGAGCCAATAACAATGAGGATAACGTTCGTGTAAACATACATAGAATTGCGTTTCTTTGCATCGCACTCTCTTTTTTTACATCAAACAAACTGCAACGTCTCTCTTATATATCACGTATTTTTTGTCTCGCTCCTACTGTCTACGTCTTCGGCTGTTCTAGCGATCGAAAAACAACCGTAAGAATCTCTCGACGATTTTCTCACCCATCTTCGGCAAAGAATCAGCACGTCACCGGGATAATCATCTACCGATCACGATAAGCCAAGCCGATTTTCAATTATCTTTTAAGCGCACGCGCGCGCCAGCTCGCTGCTTCTCTCTCTCTCTCTCTCTCTCTCTCTCTCTCTCTCTCTTTCTCTCTGGCTGCTGGCAAAGCATTCCTAAATCAACGTCGCATCGTCGTCATCGCGCGAGTCGAGCCGAGCGAGCGAAGCGTTTTCAAAGTACGGCTAGAAAACAACAGCAACAACAGTTTGACAGTGTGCAGAAAAGGCGACGAAGACGTTGAAAAAGCATCAAAGAGTAAAGTAGGTAAAGAACCACGGGAGTTTACCCAGTGTACAGTTAGCGGTACCGGTTTCGCGAGTGATCCGACGCGCAGCTCGAATAAAAAGCGTCGATCCCTTCTCCTCGCTCGCGGCTCGGCTCGGGCTCCCTCCTTCGACTCGCGACTGGGCGAATGTGCCGTAGCGCGGCATTATGTGCAGCGGGCCGTCTGCTGTTGCTGCTGCACGCCTCGAGTGTCCTGGACACAATAGAGAGGAAGATCATTGTGTTTTCGAGGCACGATGATACTCTCCCTTTGGTACACGGGGCGAACAAAAATACTCTCGCACTTTTGCGCATCCGATCGTCATCTTTTGAAAAGAGGATGGCATTTCGATTCAATGTGCGCAGCGATGTTCGCCAGCGATGAATTATTCAATCTCTATATCGCACACACAATAATGTAATTTAAGTTGGAACATGAATTATCTCGATGAAAAGTTGCATTTCAACGAATAAAATTTTTTTCCACCCTCGGAATATACATTCGGTACTTTGTTAAAATGATAAACGATACGGTCGATAGTGCATCAGTAGTTGCAGTTAGTCGTTGCTGTAACGACTGTAAAATTGTCAAACGAGTCTACAATTCAACTCTAAATGTACGCTCTTCTACAGGGATATAATTAGGAGCATGTAATTTTCGGGATTTCATAATTCGATACAATCTACGATAAGAGCCACACATGGAGTCAACAGTTAATTTTTTGACCCATCAGGCTCATTACGCTACAGCCCATGTATATAAAAATAATAAATACGTGCGAAGAAATGAAAAAAGAAGAAGAAGAAGAAGAAGCGTGGAGTGTAAGGCAAGCATTGGAGGCAAAGTAACGGGTCTATCCGCTGCGCTTGGCAGTCCTCGCTTCATTCGCCGCGGCTCTCCCTTTCTCTCTCTCTCTCTCTCTCTCCCTGCAGAGCTCCTGCGAATCACCCGCGCAAAATGCAGCGCACGGTGCACACAGAGGGACTGCAGCGAGTATAGGTAGAGGCACAAAAAGGATACCCTCGCTCAGGCAGGCAGGCTGGCAGGCTGACTCTGACTCTGGCTTTGGCGTCGGCTCGACTCGCTCGCTCGCGCGGCACACAGAGAAAGTCCGCGGCGCGTGCACAGTCTATGAAGCTAGATCCGTTATAACGACTCTAAACGATGCACCGTTATCGCTCCTCGTCTAAGCGTTGCGTTGCGCTGCGCGGCCAGCCAGGCAGCCAGGCGCAGGCTCGTGGCGCTCCGCAGCGCTTGTTTAGATGTTGAGAGATTCTAGCCTACACGTATATATAGGGCCCGAGCACAGCTGTTTGCTGCCGCGGCTCACCTACATGCTCCGTATTATTGCTCGTATACATAAGTGAATAATACAGTTTGTACGTGTGCAGCTTGTGACTCGATGCACGCGGGGCACGAGCGATGCAATATGCATGCGGGGGATACACGTATTCGTGCGGACACGTGCGAATCTATTGCAGCTCTATAGGCTATAGCCGAAGCAATCTGTAAAACAAATGATTCGCGCGCCAAATCGGACGAAAAAATAGTTTGTATGCCCAAGCCCTTTGACTCGTGCTCGTGCGCTCGTAAACGGCAGTAAGCTAGCAATGATAACGAGCGTCGTGCGATCGTCGACGGCTAAAAAATGGAAGCGAAACATTAGATTTATGTGTGTGTGTGCGTACGAGTATGTGTGCAAGCGTGTGTGTGTATGGGCACAAGTCGAAAGGTGGAATAGCGGATTTCAAAGAGGAAAATCGGCGAAGCGCGAGCAGCGATCACGTAATGTAGGCTCGACGGCGAAGGTACCGCTAGATCACACACACACACACACACACACATACTCGTACGTATACAACACACGTAAACACATACTGTATATATGTACGTGTTCTACTATATAATACATAATACTCGTGCAACACATATACTAGTACTAGCTTTAAATTACGTCACGAGAGATTTCCGTAAGGACCATCGTGACACTGCAGCAGAAGAAGACTTTCCACGTGCCATTTATATACCGCGTATATAAACATACACACACACGTACTTGTCGATACGTATACACGTATAATAAGTGAGACGTCGAATTTTCATACACAGAGAGGGAGAGAGACTCAAATCGAGATATGTCACGTGCGTAATTAACAGCAGCGCTGAATTAAAATAGAAGCGCGGCGAGACCGCTCGCAGGCGTATACATGCGCTCGTAATGAGATCTTGATACTACACCTACTCGTTGCGTACCAATGCTCCATGTGTTTGTGTATACGTACGTTGTTGCTGCTGCTTCTTGTTCCTTATATACACTCGCCAAGCTACCCCGTTATAAACATATAATCCGCGCGCGCGAACAAGACTTTGTGCGGGTAATTAAATATATACCATATACGTGTGCAGCTTATAATACAGTCCGAAAAAGAGAGGGAGAGCTTTATCTATCTCCGGCAGCTTTTTTTTAATGCGCAATTAGTCCACGCGTGCGCTTTTGTACAAGCTCGAAATAAAAACACATAGAGGCGATTCGATCTCGCTGGATCGGAGAATTAATTAGGCAATTTTGTGTGTGTGTGTGTATGTACTCGAAGGCGATTTATCAAAAATGTATACAAAGCCTTGCGCGCCCGACGTAATAATGCATAACGGACCCTCTCTCGAGGTTCGTGTGGCTTTTGGCTTTGGCTCGCACGAAGCCACTGTCCAGTCACCGCTTAGTTAAGCATCTGCGCGACA